ATCAGGTGATCCGTGTCTACTCGGCCGCACCATCGAGCTACCGATAAGACCGCGGCGCACGTGACTCTCCAACGCCGCATAGAGCTCGTGGTCACACAATAGAATGAGGTGCGGCGACTGTGCTATCTTTGAAGAAAAAACCACGTATTTCTGCTCAGGCGTATCAACGGCGGCTTGAGCCCATCAGAGACCACGTCCGCAACATACAAAAAGTTCAGCTAGCAACGGATTGTTCAACTTTTTATAATATAGCCTGAAAGTTCTGCCATGATGGGTTTCGGAGCTGCGCATAACAACGTGGATGTGGCGATTCTTTTTAATCAACCACAAATGGCGCACACTGGCGTAAACTCCCTTAAATTCCCAATGACATAATTGTGGTAAAGCAGTAACATTAATAAATGGCGATACATACTGTTTCGTTACCGTTATCCTCATGTGGTAACAGGACTGTTACAATTACGTTATCCGGCTAAGAGGTAATAATTACACACAGACATATAACTAGTAGCAGACGGAATGTTCAGTTTTAAACAGCGTGGCAAATACACACACATTGAAACTCACCAAAGCATGGGCCGCATATAGTAAAGTAGAATAAAAGATTTCATTATTGTTTCATGAAATATCTATCCGTATAGATAGATTCTAATGTGATGTCCATGCTAATAATATTATAAATGTAAAAATCTGTCTGTTTAACATCTTCATGGCGCATTTAGCCAGGCGAAATCACTGAACCGATAATGATGAAATTGAGCACGGAGATAGAATTAACCCAGGGAAAGGACATAGGTACAATTAGGAAAATTGAAATAAAAAATTAAGGCATAGTTTTTATCTATTTATTTTGAAATATTACAATTTTTTTTTGAAAAATTCTCTGAGATACATTTGTTTCTTTACATCTAAGATCAAAATAAAATTTGACAACAACTTTAATAAGCAAGTGGACATGGTTTATGTCATGATCTGGATAACAATCCTGTCATATTGAAAAATCGACATAATCACATATGAATTTAATCAAACTATTAAAATCATTACTTTTGTCTATTTTAAAACAAAAAACACTTAAAACACTATAAGTATTTGGTTGCCAATCCTGACGTTTCATATATTTTAACCATGCATTCCGAGTACTTTCATCCTTTGGAAACCTAGAAAATAATTGTTTATGTGGTTATTTGGGTTATATACCTACCGATGTCAATGTTCGAAAAAATAGGAATACCTACTCTGTAATATGTACCTATCTATTTACATTCTTGATTGCATTCACATTCAAAATACAATGAAATGCAAACAAAATTAATGCCGAGAAACTTTTTGACCTTGATACCGAGTCCGTCCTCTGTTATGGCAACAGTACTTCAGTTGTCAGAATTGGAATTTCCTATCATGATTTATCCCGATTACTTCTATTTCTTTACTTTTAGGATATTAGTTTTCACCGGTAGTATCTTAGATAAATAATCCTACGTAAAAAATGTTACATGTTACGATAATATTTAAATAAGCTTCGAAGAGACTCAAAGACATTTCAGTACACAACAAAGACACATAAAAACTTACTGATGAAACGTTAATCCTGGTGTTCTATTGTAGGTAGCACTTTCACATCGATACGCACTGTACTTGACCATAGTAATTGAATAATCTCGTTTTGTAATATAGTTTCATCAAAACAATATTCTTAATAAACACCGAAATGTCGCATGTCCGATAAGTCATGAATAAAATGGCGGCGAGGAATAAAAATGACACGCGTTGACATTTTTTGATGTGTGAGTCAGTATTGCAATAGATGGAAGAATGAGATGCCACTATCGAGTTGTAGCTGAGTACAAAAGGGATAAAAGATCATGTTTTGATTCATAAATATAACTAGGTTTTATGTTCAGTCTGCTTTAGTATTATATGTCTGTGTAATTACACTGGAATTCACGTACCAACTAGCCCTGGTAGTTATTATAAATCCCGAGATAACGTGTTCGGTTGCCATGGTCACAGAATAAGAGACGTGACAGAGGTTTTCACCAACGTGTCACTTGCTGCCTTATTCTCGCCGTCCGAACAGGACGGTGACACGGCCGACAGAGGTTGCATAATGTTTATCCTTCACATAACATTGGTGCGTCTCGGGCATCGCTGCACATTACAGCATACGGAGATCGCGTAAGACCGACGTCACACTCGTGTACGTATGCGACACATGAACACACACAAACATACGCATACAAGGAAAACGTCTTATGAGCTGAGTAGAGGTCACAGAGGTTTTAAGATGAAGTAATATTTTTAGCAGAGGTCTGACCGTCTGAGCGCAGGTAAGCCTTGCTCAGGTACGGTAGATTGTTCACCCCATGTTCGGTCATCTTGACCGACGTCACACTCGTGTACGTATGCGACACATGAACACACGCACACATACGCATACAAGGAAAACGTCTTATGAGCTGAGTAGAGGTCACAAAGGTTTTAAGATGAAGTTATATTTTTAGCAGAGGTCTGACCGTCTGAGCGCAGGTAAGCCTTGCTCAGGTACGGTAGATTGTTATTTAGACGCTGACGCTAGCCTTAAGGTCGACGTTACGTTACTAGGTTGCGCGCCAAGGGGCTCGTTAGCTCTGCCGCGTTTATCTTCTTACCTTTCTGCAACACCTGAGAGTCTTTTGTAGAGATTCATGCCTAGACCTTATCTAGAAACATGCCAGGAGGCTAGCGACCATCGTTTGTGGTGAAAAAATTCAACTGCATTCTGAGGCAAATGCATCCAAATGCATCGGGTTGACATTGCAATTTCGAAATTCCTACTATCACCTGATGGTGCATCTAGGAATTATGGCCCGTACGTTCTCGTGTTCCCTACTGTACGTGTTCTTATAACCTTCACTTTAATTTAAATTGAAACATATATGTAAGCGAAAAAAACGGTGATGGTAACGGTACGGTATGTATGGTTACTCTGGACGCTTAGATACCAATGAACAGTTCTAAGACGCGGCACGAAACTAGTGTTGACCTTGGGGGGGAAACGAAGTGGGTAACCGCGCTTTACGCCAATTGGCTCTCCAGGAGTGCCGGCAGAAGTGAAAACTTGAATATTAACGTTGTGCATATTTGATATTTTGAAATGGTTAGGGAATAATTTTGCACGAATTGCTTTAATTATCAGCATAAAAGTACTATCATTTATGTGGTAGAATACAATATTTATTTAGTGCGCTATCGTACACAAACATGACAATGGTGTCGATAAGTATCGCAAGTGCATGATTCTCTAAACTTAAAGCTAAATTTAACATCAGTCTCTCCTTTTCATTATGTATAGAGGATGACAAGGATGCACTTTTGTCAAATTTAAGTTTAGGTTTAGAGAATTATGCCAGAATGGACATCAATTTAAATTACATTAAAAAGTTTATCTCTCAGAAATATCAACTCAATGAATCACATTTAAGCGCACCTACCGACATCTATTGTAAAAAAAATAAACTTACATGAATCACATTTAAGAGCACCTAGCAAACTTCTATTGTAAAAAAATGCGTTTTCTTCGCAATAAAGCTGCCACCTGAACGTGCTAGATAGAATTATTATTATAATACGATAAAATAAAATATTACTATGTTTCGTCCAATATATTGAGTCAACCTTTCCAATTTTATTGTTTTCATCTTACGCCACGTGTCCTGCCGCGAGTTTAACATTTTTTACCCATACAAAAAAGTGTAAAACGCCGCTTTTTGACCTTTGAACCCATCGGTGGGGAGTTTTAAACTGTTATTTTTATTATGTTTTGGACAATTTTTCGCTTGATCTGAATTTGTGTACCTTCACTCTTATTTTTCTTTCTTATTTAACTGGATTAGTTACGTTGTCACAGATTCATTGACATTAAATTTTAAATAACAAATTGCTAAGCATCGCTTGGAGAATGCGCAATGTGCAAACAATTCGTTAGCCGAAATGTTAAATGGATGCCATTGAGAAATGTAGGGGTGAAATTTAATTGAAACTCAAACGCAAACATTTTCACAATTGTTTATTTATGTCGTCATTGCTTCATACATGACTCAATAACTTATTTATATTAAAAAATATATAATTAGTTGGTTCGTTACAATGTAAATAAATCACAATATACTTAACTAAAGATTGATATATTATACTTCAAATCAAAAATAAAGTTATTATCCATGCTTATAATTACAACACCTTTGTTTCTTTTAACATTTTTATATAAATAGCTAAGCAAGCGGCGATTTTTTGAACTCTTCGCGGTCTCTACAACTTTAGGTTATATACAGAATACAGATACCACAAATTAAGAAAACTTAAGAAACAAATATACAGATACAATTTCGGATTGTTTTTGACGACCTCCGTGGTGGCCGAGTAGTATATACGCGGGGTTTCATGGCGTCGCCTACTTAGAGATCCCGGCTCATGTCAAGTTTATAAATAGCATACACAAATAGCCAAGTGGTAAGGGGGTGTGATGCCAGACCTACAGATTTGTCCGTAGATCAACGGACTTTAGGTCTTGTAAGTCCGTAGCATACGGATTTCAGACATAAATCTACAGATTTTTTGACTGCCAACACGCCACTATCGTGTTTGGTTGGATTATACTTTTTTTTTGGAAATATCTTCGATAATTTTTTGATGGGAGTGTACGCTCAAACGTCATAGCAATAGCATTACTTCTATGCTTTAATCACTGTTCCGAGGTAATCTTTGTTATTTTGTCTCTGACACCTGACTCTAAGTCCTCAGATTGCTTCATTAATCTGTCAAGTCTAACTCCAAAGACTAGTTTAATTAGCAACTAACGGAATGGACTTTTGGATCGTGAGAGTGACACCGACATTATTAGTAATAATGATCAATATAAAAGAAAATTTTTTTGTTGGAGGTTTTCTCACTGATTTTTTAAGTATATTTTTAATGCCAAGGAATTAGGTTTACATCATCATACCATCCCGTCATTAAAAAAAGAATTTTACGGAATTTTGAGATTATAAAGGCCCGAATTCTGACAAAACTCTCTAAAATAACTCGATAAAAACACATTTTTAAATATTTTTTTTTAATAGATAAATCACATAATATCCTACGACTTGACCCAGCAACTTTTTGCCGTCCGAGCGAGTGATATAAAAGTCTAAGGAGTTAAATAATAAAATTTTAATTTATAATAATTTTCAGTCCGTATATAAAAGGAACAATTTTGCTATCAAATCTAATTAAGATAAGGGAAACGCGCCTTAAATATATTTAACCATAGGTTATCTAGGTTCTGAAAAAAAAGAAAAAGCGTGTTATAAATACAACATCGGAAATAATTATGTAACTTTACTTCGTCCGTGATCTCTGTTATTCTACACATGGGGTAAGAGATTAGTTCAGGTCACACTGACACTCTTAGCTTTGAATGGGATAATTTGATCGTTCTGATTTGTCAATATCAATTGGAATAAAATAACTTCTACAGCGTTTCCAATAAGGTTGATTATTCATTAAATATAACATTAACAAATGTGTTTACATAGTTTTATTTGAAATACTCAACAAACAACTCCTATTTTTATTAAATAATGCCGAAAAACAATTTTGGACCAAGCCTACTGTGGTTGAAGAAAACTGCCAATTTATCCCGCCAGAGGCGCAGTTGTTGAATGGCCCATAGCAATAAGTCGAGACAGCTATCAAAGTCACAAAGAAAACCGACAAATTTCATTTCAAAATTAAAACAACAGGGTAAAAAGTTGCACTTAGACCGTAGTTTAACAACGCAGCCTTGAAATGACAGGCAGCTTGTTATAGGCCAAACGACCAAAGCGCCATCTGTAATGAGCTTTGCGTTTCCTTCCCCAATGAAATCCCGCACAAACAGTAACACTAACCTAATATCAGTTCAGGAGAAAGGGTTTAGGTTCTTATCATAGTCATCGTCCTCGGCGAACGGATTGGTGGGGTCGTTGGTTTCTTCATCGGCGAAAGGGTTCTTCGTTTCATCGTACGTGGATTCTTCGAAGGGGTTCTTGGTGGTGTCGTTGGCAATGGCAGAGGAGATCTTCGGGGAACTAGGGGCGGGCTGCTCCGCCTCTCTTCTGTTCGGTTTGGGTGACGGTAATGGCCTGTGATAAAGAGATGGTTTTAAATTCTACATTCTTATATTAACAATGAAGACACTTGACGCATATCGATATCGATTTCAATAGAGTATTTTCCAAATGTTTTGAAAACTACTTATATTTATAATTTTTTATTATTTTTAAAGCATGTAACTGCTTGATGTTTAAATCTAAAGAAAATATAACTAGAAAAAATTCCACGCGGACCAACGCGGAAGGGTGCGGGTTCGAGTCCCGTCTGCTGCCTGGTCCGCGTGGAATTTTTTCTAGTTATATTTTCTTTAGATTTAAACTACTTATATTTAAAGATTTTGACAAACAATTTCACATAAAAATAAAAATAAATTAATAATGTCTTTTTTTCTCCATTAGACCAATTAAAATTGAACTTTTTTTAATGGTTTTGAATTTACCGCCCAATCGCTCGGTTCGAGGACGTCTACTGTGTGACGTCAACTTTGTGTATGCTATGTAATCATCTGAAGGTCAAATTTTTAACTATTCTTACTTTCGGGATAAATTTATATAAATATTAATATTTCGGGATAACTTACACAATATTTTTGATGTTTCGAAACTCTGAAGCATATAAATTAGGATAAGAAGCGAAGAAATTTGCAAAGTATTATACTATAATTTATCCCGAATGTAAAAAAAGTTTATAATTTGACCTTTAGATGATTACATAGCATACACCGTGCATACACAAAGTTGACGTCACACAGTAGACGTCATCGAACCGAGTGTTTTGGCGGTAAATTCAAAACCATTCAAAATAAATTCAAATATAATATTGGTCTTTTTGGTCAATAATTGGTCTAAAGGAGAAAAAAAGACATTAATTTATTTATTTTTAGTTTTCCGTGAAATCGTTTGTCCCAATCTTTAAATATACGCAGTTTTCACAAAATTTGGAAAATAACCAATTATTCGAATTCGATATTGGGTCATGCTAAGGCCAGAGTGTACCAAGAGTCTGCGTCAGGTGAATCAGGGGTCAGAACAAGTTCCCTTATAGTCCACTCTTGTGTCTTGTGAACTTGTTAGGTGGACCTAACAAAGGATGAGAAAGGCATAATTATTACACTAATTTAAGAAATATTTTTATGTATATTTATTTTACTTTGGATCCAGCCGGTTAAGATTAGCTTCGAGATCAGCCTCGGATGAAACAGGATCCTGTTTCAACACATTTCTTGTTTAAAAACATAACTATAATTGCTATTTCTTCTTTCAAATGTTTAATACTTGTAAAGGTATTTATTTGACATTGTGGGTTACCTACAATGCGAAGAGATGGCGCTGCCTTGCAGCCTAAGGCTAGAGAAAAATTCGACACGGCCGTCAGGGCCGCGGTAGCATAATGGTCAGTGCATTCGCCTCGGATAGCGAAGGGTGCGGGTTCGAGTCCCGTCTGCTGCCTGGTACACGTGGATTTTTTTCTAGTAAACTTTTCTTTAGATCGAAACATCTAGCAGTTCAATGCTTAAAAAATAAAAACATTTCATATCTTGTCTACCTGGATCTAGCCGGCTCCAGCCGGTTGAGGTTTGCTTCGAGACTTGAGCTGTACCGCTGAGGTTCCAACATTCGCTCGTTGGCCCTCATCCGCCCCTCCGGTACTGGCACCACGGCCGATCCTGTTTCAAAACGTATATTGCTTACCCGAAACTGCCAAATATCACTAACAGATCATCACTAATTACATTTCAACACATTTATTGAGGAGTTCCATAGCGCAAGTGGTTAGCGCGATCGTTGAAGTAAAGCAACTTTCGCAGTGGTCGGTCATTGGATGGGTGACCAAAAATTTACTATCTCGAGCCCCTCCGTGCTTCGGTAGGCACGTTAAGCTGTTGGTCCCGACTGCATCTGCAGTCGTTAGCACCCACCAATCCGCACTGGGCCCGCGTGGTGGGTCATGGCCAAAAACTCCCTATTCCATTCGTAGGGAAGGCCTGTGGTCCAGCAGAGAGACATTAATAGGCTGATGATGATGATGACATTTATTGGTTACTCGAAACTGCCAAACATCATTATACTACTAAACACACCGATGCCGGCACGTGAAGTGCCAGGCTTTGGCTATTCGTCTGTGTTATTTGTAAACATGACATCAGTCTTATAGTTATTTATGTTCTTTACGGGATTGTTACCATGTACCTCGTTTTTAGCGAGTTTCCGATATTACGGCACTGTTGCAAGCGCTTTGATCACAGAGTTACTGAAGTAATTGCGGGTAGGCTGTTATTGGCAGGCATATCGGTCTACCCTGCGACGAAGACTTTTATTGCGCTCGATACCCGTACCACTGTTCACTTTCTCACTATTCACTAAAAACTGTTCTCGACACACAACACTCACAGTACCTATCTGATCGCGACACGACATTTTTGATTATTCCGGTTTTTACATATACGAACCATAGGATTCCAGACATTCGACAATTTAACACGCTTCGCTAAAAAGAAATAACAATCCCGTAAATAACATAAATCACTCAAATGTTAGTGATCATGAAAATTTAAAAACAATATAATGACATCAGTTCTTCTTTTCTTTCATTGTAGAACATTATAAGGACAGACTGATGTCAAGTTTACAAATAACAAACACGAATACCCAAGTGCCGGCATGACATTGAGCTTTAAACAGCAAGCTGCTTTGCGGAGTTGAAAGATCTCAGCGTACAGACAGTGAGAACAACTTATGAAGATTTGTTTCGGAGCTTCAGCTGACACATTCGACCATGGCAGTTCCACGTTAGCCAACTAATTGAAGTTAGTATTATTAACAACCAAATTTTATCTACTATACCAACTTATATACTAGGTACAATTTGCAAAATTAACAATAACTTTAGCGTGCTCTGAAGATGGCTCCGATTAAAAATTGATCTTCGTTTATATTAAACGTTAATTAAACATAAACATTATACGTACCCATTTTGCTCTGCCCCTCCTGTAGTCTCAGTTTAGCCTGCCTTCTTACAATCTGAGATCCTTAAAAGTGGGCGATGGATCGGTAGCGGTCGCTGAAGCAGGCGGCGACTCTTGTGTAAAACTCTTACCGAGGATATTTATAAACTTACCCATTTTTCTTTGTCCCTCCTGCAGTCTCAGTTTAGTCTCCGCGCCCGGGCCGTACGTCTGTTTCGGCGTAGTAGCAGGGACAGAAGCGGGGGCGGGTGCTGAAGTGATAGCGGGCGATGAAGCGGGCAGCGACTCTTACGTAAAAATTTACTGAGGATATTTATATACATACCCATTTTGCTCTACCCCTCCTGCAGTCTCAGTTTAGCCTCCGCGCCCGGGCCGTACAACCGTATCGGCGTAGTAGCAGGGACAGAAGCGGGGGCGGGTGCTGATGTGATAGCGGGCGATGAAGCGGGCAGCGACTCTTACGTAAAAATTTACTGAGGATATTTATATACATACCCATTTTGCTCTACCCCTCCTGCAGTCTCAGTTTAGCCTCCGCGCCCGGGCCGTACAACCGTATCGGCGTAGTAGCAGGGACAGAAGCGGGGGCGGGCGCTGAAGCGATAGCGGGCGATGAAGCGGACGGCGACTCTTGCGTAAAAATTGACTGAGGATATTTATATACATACCCAGTTTGCTCTGCCCCTCCTGCAGTCTCAGTTTAGCCTCCGCGCCCGGGCCGTACGTCTGCATTGGCGTAGTAGCAGGGACAAAAGCGGGGGCGGGCGCTGCAGCGACAGCGGTCGATGGAGCGGTAGCGGTCGCTGAAGCGGGCGGCGAGTCTTGTGCGCCCGGCACCACAGTCAGCTTGTTGAACAGACCCCGCCCGTAGTATTCCGATACGACTGCGTATCTGTGTGTATACAGTAAATGTGTTAGCGGTCGTTCCCTTGCTGAATTTCTTACCGGTTCTTCTCAGTTCAAGATCTCTCGCCGTAGATTTGCGAACCGATTGCGAAGCTTCTCGACCTTCACAAGTGTTTGTTACAGCCTAGATTGAATAAATGATTTTTGATTTGATTTGGTCAACTAAAATCGAGGAGCGAAACGACATGAAAAGACTGTGAGTCGAATAGTAGCATATATACAGGACTGGGAGAGAGAGAGAATAATACGGATTGCATCAGTTGTAAAATTTCAGGTGTAGATAGTTAAAAGTTAAAGCGAAGGACACACAGTTAAATTATGGAAACTTAGCGTAGGGTCTAGTATTTGTCGTCATATTTTTAGAACACACTTGAACTTAATGGTAAACGGTCCATTGTGAAGGTGCTATTGGAATAGTATTTATTTCATGATACTATGCGAATGCCAAAATCGGCCAGTAGCAATGGATTCGTTTAGAGCTCACATTTTATCCGTTAGTAATAATAGTACCTAACTGCCGTTTTTTCGTTTAATCTACTCAAGGGCAATTGCAGCTGTGAATTTTTTCTTGCACTTTCGATTCTTTCATTTCTTAGAAGAAATAAAACAGACAAATATTAAGTAATATTGAATTAGAGGAGATATGAAAACATAAAATGAACAATACTAAGACAAAATTCCTTAATTTTTAATAACCTAAACATTCATTTAAATGCACAGCATTGAAAAAAATTAATCAATTAATGTTTGATAATAACACACTTGTATTACACATTTAATACATCATCCGATAAGCTAATCTCTAGATAACGAGTCACGAAAACGTGGAGCTCACAAACATAAACAAACCGCTCACCCATCGTCTACATGCGTACGCGCAGGTGCCGGGAAACACCAAGAAAATGGGGGGAATAAAACCAACTTAGAAGTAGACAAATCCATAACACAACCGTTTGAAAACACTTGGCAACGCGCACAAAAGAGTAATTACTATTCACGCGAGAACACTGGTGATATGGAAGTTAATGTACGACTGATAAAGAAAAGTATTAAGTCTCAAGTTAATCCACGCCAGCGTTGGATGACGTGTTAACAATACGTTACAACTTGCAGGTTAATTGCAGCGAATTGTTTTTACAGTATAGCAGTAACATTTATTTAGTTTTAACTTTTTATTTTTTTATTCAATTAACTGCCCTACGTGAAACGTATTTTAATGCTGTGGATTTTTTGCTATTTTTACAAACTAATAGGTACTACACGTTAGGGAAAATTTATTTTTATAACGGAGGCACACGAGAATCGACTAGAAGGTAAGCAACCACAGCCATCATAATTTATCGATCGACGCCTGTGATACCAAAGTTCAATGATGCATTACTATGGATCATTAAAGCTTACTAGGTCATTGAAAATATTATTTTATCTGCACATGCTTTAAAACCGCAATTAAAGATTCTGAAACAGTTAGCCAACATTAAAACATCCAATGTCATAATTAAAAAAACATTATAACACCAGTTTAGGTGTTCTCCTTTACCTACACCCATGCTTTAAAACCTCTATTATATATTCTGAAATAGTTATTGCCAACATGCAATGCACTAAATTTAATTATAACTCTTTCGCTTTTTAAATCCTTTCCGCGCCCATGGCTTGTTTACCAGACAGCCATAACTTTCACTGTTGGATGCGTGGTATTATGAATTTCAAAAAAAGAATATTGTCATTCACGTGCTCTTCACTACCTCGGCGCTTTTCAACTCAAAAACTATCAAAACATTTCTTGAATTTTAAGTTCTTAGTACACCCCATGGTTTCAGAATCTTTTATAGAGGATTTATATCATGGGTGTAGATAAAGTTTTGTATGCAACTGTTATAATTAGGTATTAAAACACTCATGTGATAGTATTATCACGCATTCATATTTTAATACCCATCATTATACAACAGTTGCATAAATAACAATAATAACATTCGTTCGGCAACAATTAATAATGACGGGCTGCGTGGAAGAGTGGTTAGTAGGTGTCGCCTACTCAAAGGTCCTGGGTTCGAATTCCGGTGGGGCAAATATTTGAATGACGAATACGTACTATAGTTAGGATACCTAAGTAAAACCCGCCTGTTCCAACCTACCTTTACCCCGTTCCATACCGTATGGAGCTCGCAAATTTTATAGACAGCTTTACTTTCTTAGCAATAAATATCATGAACTATCAAATAAAGAATAGATTCTTTGATCAAATATTGCTATTCATTTTATTGTTTTATCTGCTATTGTATAATAGCAATGAAAAATTAAGCGTATATTCATGTATAACATGTGTTTATGGTGTAATTCAGCTGTGGCAACATAAATGTTAAAGTATTAAGTTAGATACGAAAATAAACCTTCGCAAGTTAGGAATACGGATAACTTAAATTTGTATGTCATCTTAGCCTATAATTTAGTGGGTCTGTTCTTTAATTTATATCAACTAAAGAATAACTTGTATTGAAAACTAAATCAATATAAGATTGATCAATATCTAATATTGATTTAGTTTTTGAAGTTGAAAAATACGCGATAAAATGAGAGATGACTCTGCACAGATTTTAAATCCATGAACTTGTTTTTTGGATACGACTAGTACTCTCCCGATAGAGTTATCAAATATTTTAACGAGATTGTCGAATTTTAAAGTCATAGTTTTAATCAATGTATATAAACAAAAAATGTACTCTTTCTTTGTGCTGCTTTAAAGATTTTAGGTCTACGTTATAAGAAAAAACGTGGATATAACGACTACCTGTAAAAAAATATACAACGTCTATCAGAAATAACACACAACCTGAAAGTAGTTTAATACGAACATGGAAATGAATCAATTTCAGTAATTTTCATTTTGATTTCATCAATTTAAGCAGAGATATCTCAATGTTAGGAATATTATTTAATGTACCGTTGCATTTAAAAATAGCTTTAAATTACATTGTATTATGTATCATATTCTTTCATTTAGAATGATTAAAGGACATAGCTAAGAAACTGCCCTTAACGTGTATAACTATTTTGCACTAGCCCGTAACTTTATAATATTATTTTATTAATTATTACGTGCTTATAATTCTCATACAACTTTTGTGAAATAATCAAATATTTAAAAGTGTAAAAATTGACTTCCATTTCTGTTCCAAAAGGAAAATGTTCCGTTTTACAAAAATAAATGAACAATAAATGTGTACTAAATTTATTTCTGAAGGTAAATCTAAATAAACAATTATAATTCAAACGTTCTGATTGGCCACGTCAAGGTTAGGTTAGGTTAGGTCACGGGAGAAGTGATGAGGGTAAGATCGATTAAAGAAAATATCGATATTTTCTGTCGATAAGTAATTTAGTAAAGAAGCCTTGGTGCGCGAGTGCAGATATGCCACCACTTTGTTCCAGCGTTCTTTTTAAATGTCACGACTAGTTCACGACATTTAGGGGCGTGCCTCAAGCATAGGTAAAATTTTACTTAAGCTTGGCGTAAGCGGTTGCTCTTGTATGCGGACTCTAGTGGTGGTGCTCCTTGGCCGCCGACTCCCGAGTAGCTTTGCAAGCAGGTGCAATGTGTTGGTCGCACTGTATGTATGGTGATACTCACGGGTCGTGGTCGGTCCTTAGCCGCGCGTGCATGGCGTCTGCGGGCGGGGGCGGCACGGACACGCGGCGCCCGCCCGGCGAGCACACCGGGCACTCGCTCTCCGACTCCGAGTAGCTTTGGAAGCAGCTATAAACGAACAAAAGATTAGGGGTTTGTTCTTCACGAAATAATAAAGTCATATATGAAGGAACACTGTAGTTTTATTTCTCACTGAACACGGGATATTACACAACCCTTATATAGGTTATCCTAGATACAAAAATGTATATTTGCGAACTAAGGGGATTACGGAGGGCGACTGGCTCAATCGCTCGTCGTCGCACCACACGTGCAGTAAAACAATACTGTGTCCCTACAAAAGCATTAATATCCTGTAATTTGTAGCGGCATACTTTTTGAGCAAAACCACAGAAAAAAAAATGCGCAATAGACGTTTTTGTATGTAAAATTGCTACTGCGCAGCTTCGTTGTACATAGTTGTTGCTCAAGAGGTTTATACGTATGCAATTGTATGTCGGCCTTGCCAAATAAATAATTATTATCATAACTTGTTATCATGCTCCCATATTTTATATCCATTTCTCTATCTTTATTCATAAAAATAAAAACTTACAAGCTGAGCGATCAACGCACAGTTAACACCGCTAATTCTAACAAGAAACATGAAATTTTGCAGACTCAGAAAACTTGTTCTTCTGCTGCCAAATAATAATCAACCTATAGAGAAAGGATAGAATAATCTGGTTTTATTTCATAACAACAGTTAATCTAAATAACAGTAATCAGAACTCTAAAATAGGCTATCTCTTACTGGAATTTGATTATTAAAACTGACCGTTATAGAGTTAATTTAAAAAAATAAAGTTTAATTAAAATAAGAATGATAGCTTGTATATACTCGTAGCTTATGGTAAAATTTGTAATTCATTAATAAAGAGACATATTTTTGTCTCATGAAAAGGACATGAAATTTCCTTAATTTTCGAGACTCGTTTGGAACTGCTTACTGTTTAAATATAGATAATATATCTAAACCCAGTAGTAGCATATTGTACTCTGAATCATTTAAGAGAACTTACTTCTAGTGGGGTAAATGTTGACATAGAAAGTGCACAGTAAGCAATTGTATGGGTCTCCTGCAAGAATTTCATTTGGAGCACCTATATCTGGCCCTTCATCTTTTTGCTCTCGCTGCTATACTTCTTAAACTAAGCTAAGAATAGCTCAGCTGCTGGTGAAAGGAATACTGTCACAAGAAGTGGACAGTGGGCAGTTCCAGGGGTCTACTGCAAACAGTATTATCTAACTTTGGAAGGTGATGGGTTAGTGCTGTATGAGCTGTATTTGAGCCTATATCTTTTCAGAGTTTTTCTTACTGCTATAACTTACCAGGAAGTATAAAGAGGCCTGCTTCGCAGCAGTAAGTTTTATTTATTTATTATTTATGTTAAACTTTATTGAAGAAAAATACACAAGATTGGTGCAAAAGGCGGACTTAATGCTAATAGAATTCTCTCCCAGTCAACTTTTGGGGAAAAAGATAAACATGAAATAGGTATACTGCAAGTATCTCGAACGCCAACGTATCTTAAACTATGGGAGATGACCCATTTCTCCTGTAACTCTAGAACTTACTGGTAGTGGAAGGAATGCTGGCACTAGAAGTGTACAGTGGGCAATTCCAGGGGTCTACTGCAAGCAGCACATCTAGAACTCTGGAAGCTGGCAGGTTCTTGCTGTTTGCGAGTTATCATTACTGCTAGAACTTACTAATGGTGGAGTTCGCTCCATCCAGTATTCGTACTGGCACAGGAAATTAACAGTGGGCAGTTCTGGCGGTTTATTGCAACCTTCTCGAACGCAAACGTATCTAGAACTGTGGCAAATGATTGATTCTGCTGTAATTTTGTAGAGTTATCTGCTAGAACTTACTGTTGGTGGAAGGAATGCTGGCACAGAAAGTGTACAGTGGGCATTTCCAGGGGTCTACTGCAAGCAGCACATCTAGAACTCTGGAAGGTGACGGGTTCGTTCTGTATGCGCTGTATCTGAGCCTTCATTTTTTCAATCTCGCTGCGATACTTCTCTGCGAGTTCTTGTTCCCGATTAATTACGTCGCTTTCGGCTTTTAGCACGTCCATCAAATACCTGAACCGGAGATAAGCTTAGTTAAATGTGGGGTCGTCGAATAGCTTTATTAAAAGCGAAAATCTATGAGCTTCTTTTATATTTAAAGTTATTGAAAATAGCACGAAATGTTATCTGTTCGTCTTCTTCCCTTTTTTCCTGGCAAGTACATAAAAATCTGTTAACTTTATCGTAAATATATAGAATAGAATAGAATATACTTTTACCCACACGTTTAGAAACTATTTTAGACGTATCATTTCTATTTCTAGAAGAAATCTTGCGGCTTTACCACCCGGCTATCTTTAACTGGATCACCAGATATAATGTTACTTGACTAGTCTCAACTTGCTGGCACAGTCTAAGTAACCTTTTTACTTCACTCATATGACAACCATATCATATGATTGATTGACTGATAAAGTTGCCGGAATACTGGCTAGACAAATAATTAAAGAAAATATTTTGTCCTGTTTTATACTAAATGTAATATTTTCTGTGGTGTACAAGAAAGCGTTTTGTATTGTTGTCTTTGCTAGAAGCGTTCTTAATTGTATGACCACCAGTGTATGTTTTCAATACTTATACTTACTTTCTTACGTCGCCTAGCGTGTATGTCGGCGTACTTGCGAGGCAATCGATGACCAGAATTGGAGACAAGAGCTTTTGACTATCTGTGGGCAAATTATTTCACATTATTATTGAAGTATTAAGATTCAAAATCTTTACTTGTTATAATGTTTGTGATTGTGAGCGATTTAGAGAATCATGCCCAATCGACATCAATGCCACTTTTTTAATTATATTTTTTATGCGTATAAAACTCGACCTATTGAAAAACTAATTTAACGGTTGTATGTTTACCTTTATGTTTATGTTTGTCACAGAGGAAGTGGAAAAGAGTATACGTATTAGCAGCTCGGTCAAACAGGCGGCGGGCGGTCCCCACCACAGCACGTCCAGCCACAGCCGCGGGCAGACATTCCCGCGTCGCCTGCAGCCGCTGCAGCGCCACTTACCGATGATGGCAGCAGCTCGGCCAGCCAGGCGGCGGGCGGTCCCCACCACAGCACGTCGAGCCACAGCCGCGGGCAGACGTTCCCGCGTCGCCTGCAGCCGCTGCAGCGCCACTTACCGATGATGGCAGCAGCTCGGCCAGCCAGGCGGCGGGCGGTCCCCACCACAGCACGTCGAGCCACAGCCGCGGGCAGACGTTCCCGCGTCGCCTGCAGCCGCTGCAGCGCCACTTACCGATGATGGCAGCAGCTCGGCCAGCCAGGCGGCGGGCGGTCCCCACCACAGCACGTCGAGCCACAGCCGCGGGCAGACGTTCCCGCGTCGCCTGCAGCCGCTGCAGCGCCACTTACCGATGATGGCAGCAGCTCGGCCAGCCAGGCGGCGGGCGGTCCCCACCACAGCACGTCGAGCCACAGCCGCGGGCAGACGTTCCCGCGTCGCCTGCAGCCGCTGCAGCGCCACTTACCGATGATGGCAGCAGCTCGGCCAGCCAGGCGGCGGGCGGTCCCCACCACAGCACGTCGAGCCACAGCCGCGGGCAGACATTCCCGCGTCACCTGCAGCTGCTGCAGCGCTACTTACCGATGACGGCAGCAGCTCGGCCAGCCAGGCGGCGGGCGGTCCCCACCACAGCACGTCGATCCACAGCCGCGGGCAGACGTTCCCGCGTCACCTGCAGCTGCTGCAGCGCTACTTACCGATGACGGCAGCAGCTTGGCCAGGCAGGCGGCGGGCGGCCCCCACCTCAGCACGTCGAGTCGCGTCGCCTGCAGCCGCTGCAGCGCTACTTACCGATGACGGGCAGCAACTCGCCCAGGCAGGCGGCGGGCGGTCCCCACCACAGCACGTCGAGCCACAGCCGCGGGCAGACGTTCCCGCGTCGCCTGCACGCCGCTAGTGCCCCTTCGGCATCGCCACTGCGCAAGTGTAGGGCCACTTGCGCGCGCCATCTAGTTGGGGATGGAGGTACGAAAACTTTAATTATTCCCCTCAAAAGAAGAAGAACTAAAGCATAGAAAGTGTTTAATTTCAAGTCATAAAATCGATTCAAGATGCCTTATTACAAATCAAACACGAATTTCGCACACCGTGTGCGTTGATTCCGTTACAAGTCCTCGGCGGAGATTTTTTTCACGATTGAGGGACTTTTGTCCGTCGTGGACCAAAGTTCTTAGTCTGCGCAGGTCATAATAAAACTAAATCATTTTACGAGTATGTATTTATGTTTTTTTTTATTCTTTATAGTTTGTTGCGATGGTCAGTTGTCAAAAGAACCACAGGTGTCAATTGAAAACCAGCGTCAGGTCCCACAAAACTGACAACATGCTGAATTGACAACCTGTTTTGGCGCACCCGCGAAACAACAACAGATTATTAATCTGTTGTTGTTGTGTTCAACAGATACAGGTAACGTACGGTATGGAAAAATTGTGTGTGTTACTTCTTTGCTATGTGCTGTTATCCTATTGTTTATGATGTTGTTTGCTCAAAATCTTGTATCTCCTGACTCGTTGTTTGTGTCAAAATAAATGTATTTTCTTTCTTTCTTTCTATAATACTTACAATTTATTCTCTTCATAAAGGTGGAGGACGCCAGTTTTAAAGCCCAGCATCTGACAGCTAACTAGTGTTTGATCCTTATCGTAGTTAGCTTCTGGGTCTTTCAGCACCTTCATAATTTTAGCTTCGTACTCGGCTTTTTCGATGTCTGGACATTTCGCCCTGCAACCAAGGAGAAGTTTACATAAGTATTCGCTATGTGCGAAGTACATGGTGGGGGTATAGTGAAGCGATCGCAGCGCTTATCGTGGCAGAAATACGCAACAATCCGGGAAAGTAAAGTCAATTTGCACGGAGTTCGTAATAAACAAAAATTTTTTAAAATGCCTATTAATAGATGTTGTTGTATTGTGAATTGCAAAAATAAGGGCACAAATAGTCTGTGTATATATTTCCTACATTGGACTGGAAATTAAATCAAAGAAATAAATGGATAGATGCCATAAAAAGAAATAAGTAAGCGAAATAACCTTAAATTATGATCAATTTTATTTGCGCTATATATTTTATGTGATATTCATTATTGTCTTTATTATTTTAGTGTTGATGGGTCGCCATGGTATCCCAAACCTGACGACACAATTTGTAGTGAACATTTTATGGGAAACAAAAAATCAGACGAGGAAGAAAATCCGAGTTATGCTCCTACGATATTCCCTGAAATATATCGAAAGAGGAAGGTTAATGATTCACAGGTCCTAGCTAGATATACACGCTTGACAAAACGAAGAACCACAAAAGTCTCAGATACCACATCAAGTCAAATAATAATTGAAGAAGGGAGTGAATTAAATCAAACTCAACCTTTTATGATCGATCAAGGATGTCAAGTCAATATGTTTTCTGAATCGAAATTAAGAGATACAACTTTTATTTGTATTAGATTAATTTACAGTGATCACTGTGATCCAACATCAAGAATTTTAATGACAAATAATTCAAGAAAGAAAGATAAAAGCTGTGGCACTGACAAAAAATCGTATGAGGATCAATCTACCGAAACAAAAAGTCAAGAATTTGTTGGTATTTCATCAATAACAAATGATCAAGAACTCCTAGATCCTTCTGGTGTGTCATTTAGCAATTTTGAGTTTTTATTAACAAGATTAACTATGAGAAAATGTACAGTTTCCACTAAAGACCGACTTCTGATTTTTTTGATAAAAATGAAAACTGGCTTGACATTTTCAGCATTGAGTGTGTTATTTGGTGTACAAAAAAACCACAATCTCACGTATATTTCATTCGATCTTACAAAATCTAGCTTGTTCAACTGCTAATTTAATCTTTTGGCCGAATAGAGCCATCGTACAAGCACCAATGCCCAAGTGTTTCAGTCCAGATTACATCAATACAAGAGTTATTATTGACTGTACTGAATTCCGAATTGAAATCCGACATTATTTAAATTATTATACAATATATAATAATTTTTATTTATCTTTACCTTACTATATTTACTAGAAATCAATAAAATACAAACTGATGTCATTATTTGGCATAATCCCGGAAAGTTGCGCATTGTAGGTGGCGCTACTGTCGTGCACATAGCGAATAGTAACAAATTGATACTTTTCAAATTACTTGTCTTTGTTTCGGAAATAAAATTCAGCCATATTTTTATAATTTCATTTATTAGTTATGTGATTCAGATTATGATTGTTTGGCCAATTTCAATGCAGGCTGTAGTAAGGAGCAGCTAATAATAATTACACCAGAAAAATCGTTACTAATATTATAAATGTGAAAGTGAGTTCGTTTGCTACGGCTTTACGTAAAAACTACTGAACGGATTTGGATGAAATTTGGTACGCATATAGTTTATGACCGGGACTGAGACAAAGGATACTTTTTATTGTGGAAAAATTAGAGGTTTCTGTGTGACTCTGAAAAACTAAAGTTAACGAGCACGAAGTCGTGGGCTGCCGCTAGTACGTACTTATAGAACATAAGTGCGTCGTACAGAAGTTTAGAACAACCAAACGTCGAACTCATATGCTCCGGAAGTCGTTCAGAGTTGCTCAGGAATGCATGGATTAAAAATTACCACTGAAATGCCAAATATGACTCACCACACACATATGTAGTGTTCTATAAGCGCGTCGTACACAAATTAAGAACAACTGGGGGATGAACCATATGCTCTAAGAACTCTTTATAGAGTTCTAAGTCGTTCAGAGTTGCTCAGGAACATATGGATGAGGTCTTGTCACTGAAATGTCAAATATGATGGAATACTCACCACACATGTATGTAGTGTTCTATGAGCGCGTCGTATACTAATTTAGAACAACCGGGGGTTGAACTCATATGCTCAAGAAATTCTATGAGCCGTTCAGAGTTGCTCAGGAACATATGTATGAAGTCTTCAGGCGGGGCGCTGTCTGGTTCCCGTGTACGACCAGTGAGAGTCGCCTCGTCTACAAGTGGTTTGCTGCGCGGTTTATAGTCCGTACATAGCACTAAAATAAAGAAATATTTCAAACTCCAATTAGCATAGCCCCAAAGTAAACACTTAAATTCAAGATTGTTAGATTGGACTGTTTGAGCCACTTGATGGAAAATGAAAATTGATGGAAAAGAATTAATATATAGTATTTGGTTGGAGTTGTGTATACCTATAAAGTCAATTTTTTCTTAATTTATCCCTGATATATTTCACAGATATATTTACTAGTACTTTACTAACGTAAAGTAAATAAAAATGAAACTTGTTGCTATATTGTAATTTGTTACAGACATAAATATATTCATTTCTGTGTTAAAACTAATTCTTAGTAGATTATGGTACAGAGTTACCAAGAGGTAGACTTGAGACTTAAGAAATGCCAAAAAACCTGAACAAATATTGAGCTAAATCAATTAAATATCGCAGCCATTACATACACATCAATACATAAAACCCTATCATAGAGACTGTTAACCGACTTTAAACAAGAAAGGAGAAGGTTATAATCATGATACATGTTATATTAAGGAGCCTGCACTGCGTTAAACTGGGATCACGGAGAGGGCGTTTCATGTTATTTCATAGAGCAGCTCTGCGCGAGGCAGGTCTCCCGTGAAGAGCTGTTCTATGAAAAGACATAAAAACTGAAAGCGGCGCGGACGCACGCTCCGTGTTCCCGCTTAACGCACCGCAGGCTCTTATACTTACACTTCAACAGCTGTGTGCTCTCCTCCGGCTCATGTTGTATGAGAGCGTGTCCATACTTCCTCATATAGAACTCTGCGTGTTCAAACTCCAGATCGGCTATATAGTGTAACGCCCTGGAGTACTCCTTACGGTCTTCCACTAGCAACTTCACCACCCAGTCGTGGCGTTTGTGGACCATAGCAAGGGATAACGCGTCTTCCACGCTCACTTGACGGACCACCTGTTAAAATGGAGTAGAGATGATGACGGAATAAAGTATATAAAATTCTATTTAGTCCGTGAGTTAGGTAATCAAAAAGTAATGGACACTTTTTTTTGTTTCTGTTAATCAATCAAAAAAATCGGAGATTAAGCACATCAAAGTTTGGGAGCCCCACTCCCAATATCACAGCTCGTGGCGTCACTTATAAGTAAAAAAAAGTTCCAATATTTAATATAATATCTAACTGTAATGTTTTGATTACGTGAATACGTGTCCAATAATTTTAGATAATCAACCTGAGAGACAGAGAAAAAAAACTTAAGTAATTTTTCTTATTGTAAAACTTTTAAATCGTGCGTTTTCTACGCTCACTAGACGGACTACCTATCAAAATTGGTATAGACGCTTGCGATACCATGGAGAATAAGTACTATCCTTAAATGTGTTGACGGGACTCGAACCTGCACTTAGAAAAAACTTAGATTTTCTTTAGATTTAAACATGTGGCAGTTAAATACTTCAAAAAATATAACTATAAAAGCTATTCCTTCTTTCAAAATTAAATGTTTAATACTTGTGAATTCTTTTGACATTGTAGGTTACCTACAATGCGGAGAGATAGCGCTGCCTTGCAGCTTAAGAAAAACTAGATAGAATTCGACACGACCATCAGGGCCCTGGCAGCATAAAAGTCAGTGCATTCGTCCGGATAGCAAAAAGGTGCAGGTTCGAGTCCCGTAAAATTTCTTTAAAAAATATTTTTCAATCAATGTTTAGTCAAAATCAGATACGAGTAATGTTACACAAAAATCTACTATTTGCAATAACATAAAAATGGATGCGTGTAACTAATGTACGCGCGTGAGAAGTTATACTTCTTTAGCATCATTAAAAATATTTTTTAATTGCATGCAAATAATTAATAATTACAAAACACATACTTCATATATGTATAAAAATTGATTGTTTTTCCTCACTTAATCTTAGTAAGTTTTTATTAAAAAATCTGATGGTTTGATTTGATGATTGATGATGGTTAGTGACCATGAAAGTTTAAAACAATATACTGATGGTTTTTCTCATTTAATCTAAGTAAATAAGTTTTGTAACACCATAGTATTAAATATCATCACGCCGCCCGTTACTAGATGGCCCGGTACGCATGTGAATCGCGCTATCCTATACCGACACCGATTGTATGGCACATCATAGGATCAAATATCATCACGCCGACCGCTACTAGATGGCGCTGTACGCATGTGAATCGTGCTATACTATACTGACACCACTTGTATAAGGTGTTCTTGGGAAATTGACCAAGTCATCGCTTCGTAGGTAGGGCCTATTGTCTTGCACGCTATACGCTTCCACCACGTGGGACGTCTTAGTGTCTTGATAATAGTATACATGTACTTCCACCCTTGTGGGATACAGTAATACCATTTCTCCTACAAATATTGAATAGTAATCACAATATAAGTATTTTCTACCTACGCCTATCTTTATTTGACGTCAGTCTTCTCACACTCCCCCTTCGCCCTCCCGCACATTCTTACAGTTTTATTAAATAATAAATATTATAAATATGAAAACAGTGATCAGAGGCGACGAGCGTCCCAACATGTGCGACTAAGAGATCCTATTACTGTTTTGATGGAAGCTTTTTTTCGAGACTTACGAGTAATGTGCGGTTTAGCGGCCGACTTCATGGTGTTACTTTTCTGTTACAGTGTTGCGCGCGCATCTTAAAATTTCACTCTCATCATTTTTTCATAACGCGCCCGCGGCTAACTTCATTATGTTACTTTTGTGTTACAGTGATGCGCGCGCATCTTAAAATTTCACTCTCATAATTTTTTCATAACGCGGCTAAAGAAGTATAACTTCAAAAACTTGTGTACTTTAACTGTACTTTTAAAATCTAAGTTAGGGATCTGAACAAAGACTTAACGATTAACTTTTGCAAAAAAACATATTTCAATGTTTTTATACAAGTATGATCTGAATATAATCACATTCAATGTTATGTTAAAAAGCACAATAGGTATAATAAATAAATAACATAACATCAAAACAAATTATAAATAAAATAAAATAAACCTTTCTCTCTAACCTCATAAAGATCAGTTCACCTTGTAATAAAGAAAAAAGTACCTTAATAGCAACATCCACATCGAAGTCTATAGCCTTGTCTTTGGAATTGATAAACTCCTTCAGCTTCCCAAGCTGATCGTGCTGGTCTATCTTCACGTAGCATGTCAGAAGTAAAGTAGTGTGATCTTCGGTAGCACAGCCTTTCTTGTGAAGCTCTTCCAAGTATTGGACTAGTGGCTCTAAGTGCCGACACTCAAGATATTTACGGATGACGTATGAGGTTTCCAGCCAACCGATGGTTTTAACGTACTGTTCTATAGCACCTTTGAGATCGCCCTAAAAATATCTGTTATTAATAAAACTTACTTACTAAATAATGATGTCGATTCTGACATGATTCTCTAAACTTTAAACTAAATTTTACATCAGTCTCTCCTTTTCATTCTATATAGATAAAGACAATGCACTGTTTTGTCAAATTTAAGTTTAGGTTTAGACAACCATGCCAGAATCGACACCAATGTATGGCTTATCTTAACTAATATCATAAGGGCGAAAGTAATTTGTTTATTTGTTACGTTTTCACATAAAAACTAATTAATGGATTTGGATGAAATTTGGTACGCATATAGTATATGACCTGTACCCTTAGCACGAATCAATATGGAATTTGTATCGTTTGCGAGTACGCAATGTCATTGTCAAGTTTTGTATGGAAACTTGAACAGCAGTGCCATAAAGTACGTAACGAGAACTAAAAACCAGTACACATTTTATAATGACGACATGTCATTATAAAATGTGTACTGATTTTTAGTTACTCGCAAACTATTTGAATTCGATATTAGTTCGTGCTAAGGGTACAGGAGGCCTACTCTATTTCAACGAAAAACGAAATTTCGCACGTTCCCTACTCTGCTTCCTTTTCATTTCGAAAATTCGTTCGTCCGAAATATTTTGACAATTAAATTCTCCAAGCCTACTCTAATTCACAAAACTTTCGAAGGAAAAGTTGAATTTGACAGATAATTGTTCGAAATTAACCTCAATTAACCTCAAAGCGACGAAATGAAAAGTGTTACCTTTTCATTTTGAGATTTTTGTTTTAATTAAGCCTAAAATACTTGCAAGAGTAATTTTACTAATAGCTGCTTAGCTCGAGTAACATTTTTAGCATGTAAAATTAACAAATAAACCATTATTTATTATTTTTTGTAATTTCGATACTTCAAAGTATTAAACGACAAATTGAAGTTGACATACAGTAGATTGTATCGACTCTACAAATTAGTCGGCTAACACTGTCAAAGAAGGTTCTTTTAATCTCATCAAAAATTTTGCCGTAAACTACCTATATTGTTTCCAAGTAAAAAAAACGTTTTCTTAAAAGTAGAGATAAAAAGAACTCACAAACATGACTCATTCCATTCGTTCACGAAAACTGTTTATGGTTCCGAAGTTAATGTGCCTGTTCGAAAATGAAATAGAGTAGAGACACTGGCGAAATTTCGTTTGAAATTCGTTCGTTACCGAAATTTCGTTTCGGAGAAAGAGAGTAGAGTTCCAGAATTGAGACATAGGATACTTTTATCCCGGAAGTCGCGGGCGGCTGCTAGTAATATTATAAATGTGAAAGTTTGTACGTCAATGACACCAAAACGGCTATACGGATTTGGATGAAATTTTACACACATAGAGCTTATAACCTGGAAAGAAACATAGGATACATTTTATCGCGCAAAGAAGGTTAGCTCCTGGGGATCTTCAAAATACAAAAGTTACGCGAACGAAGTCGCAGGAGGCCGCTAGTACATATTAAATACTAAAAAAAACACAAGTATTCTTAGACACTAAACAACGACTTACCTTACTATACAAATGGTCACCATACTGCTTATAAATCTCTATAAGACCCTCGACATCATAGTGCTGACTGCTCGCTATCCTTATGGCTACATCATACAAATTCTTCTTGAACAACAAACTCAGTTTCGACTGCAAATCTTTCTCCTCCAAGTAAATAACCTCTTTGTTTTTCGTAAGGAGGTAAATGCATCCCCATTCTGTGATCACAGCGTCGATGACGTCAAACGTTTTGGAAAAAACTATGAATTTGTTCTGTATATCGAGTATTGTGATGTGATGGGACTTCGATGACGATCCAGAGCTGGTGGAGGCGGCTGATTTTTCGTTGGTGGTGATCACTAAGTATGACCGGAACCAATTTAAACGGACCTTTTCGCCTTCTAGGGCGTAGCAAGGGCCTCGTCCTTCTGTAGTGTAGCAGTATATGGCCTGGGTATGGAAATAACATAGATGTGAGAACAGTCGATTTTTTTTTATAGAAACATCTGACCTGTGATTGTCTTATCTATTCTTCAGAATAGGGCATGACTGCGAAATGTCGGTGGGATTCTCCATCATTATCATCCGAGTATTAATGTCCCCACTGCAGGGGCACAGGCTTTCCCTATGGATGGAATAGGGAGTTCAGTTCTTGCCTAATATTAAGAGGGTAAGTTAAAATTTATTAACTAATTTTGGCCGTGTATCATCGTGATTGCTCGGCCACACTTCTGATTACACGCGCTCGGGAAAACGTTTTATCTCGTCGTGTCTAAAACACCGTTTGGTGGAAACAAGGGTCTACAGCTCGTAGTCGTGCTATGGACCTTTGGTTGGAGTGAAAGGCGCCGTGCGCTGGTCTCCGGAGTTGGTGACATTCACTTGCGAGGGTAGATGGTCACAGTTAGTGGATTTAACTTATCTCTTTGATTTAGCAAGGACTGTAAATATCACAGTACTTTCATCATATAAACACCTCGCACAGCACACATAGAGTCCATTCACACATTAAAATATTTTAAAACTTATTAACCAGCGTTTGTTAAAATTGTGTATACACCGCACGGAGAGATCGGGCCATAAGCCACCAGGCTGGCCCAGTGCTGATTGGTGAGTGCTAATGACTGCAGATGCAGCAGGCCTTAACGTAAGGTAATAAGTATTTGGCCACTCACTAAATGACCGACCATTGCGAAATTTGCTTAACTTTCACGATTGCAGGCTGAATGCGCTAACCACCTGCACCATCGAGGTTGTCATGTGATACAAAATTTTAAGGGGGACCTCGGCCCTCACAATGCATGTCGGGTGATCGGTGCAGGAGTATTGTCTGGTTTTTATTTCCGGCATTTTCCGGACTTAAATTCAAATTCTGTGCACTGGCCACACATCTGAAGTGACACTTCTTTTCTTAAATAACCTAACATTAGGCGGTGCATAAGGTATAGGGGAATGGAGCTGCGCACGCACCACTCATATATATAGTCGTGTGACAGCCGAGACGCATATCCATTTCATCTTTTAAATCTTAATAAAGTATAAATTAACTTAACTAACGGTTTTTATAACATCTGGACATTATAACTTCTTGAAAATTCAGAGACTTGTACACATTGACTAACGGTCTTTATAACATCTGGATATTATGATTTCTGGGGCATTCAGAGACTTGTACACATTGACTAAGTGTCTTAATAACATCGGGACTTTATGACTTCTGGGACATTCAGAGACTTGTACAATGTACACATTGACTAACAGTCTTTATAACATCTAGACATTATGAAAACATTAACTTTCAAATATTTTCCATAGGATTTCTCCCTTTACACCCAGTCCGAGTTTTACTTCAAAAAGACAGGCTGTGGGACACTGAAACACTCACGTCGTCGATGGCGACGGTGAGGCGGTGGTTGGTGGCGAGCACGCAGCACTGGGGCGGCGCCCCGCGCGCCTCCAGGGTCACGCAGCGCTCCGCCCCAAGCCAGTACACCATCACGCTGGAGCGAGACACCACGAATAGCTTTTCCGTACCCCTATACGACAAAAGAAGCCTTATAAATTGAGGCTGTCAGCGCAAAAGTGGCCTAACGCTCAATTATGCATATTCTGATTAAGCGACTTAGGCCACTTATGAAGTTTATGTTGAGAGAAAAAAACAATGCAAAAAGAACTTTTGCAACGCCGTCTCATCTCATCTCATTGACGCCTGGTGTGACACAAGAGATAGGCCGATTTTGAATTAAATTTTAAAACATTTTTATTTAATTGTAGAATATGAATCAGAATATGAATAATTGAGGGTTAGGTCACATTTACGCTTAAAGCCTCAATTATCATGGATCACACACACGTGAAACTAAAAAATAAAGATAATCTGATTTGCCCTGTAGACTGAGAGACTGGACTGAAAATTCGTACCCCTACGCACGAATTCGTCTTCTATATTATTATATGAGGTAATATTTAAGACAAGACAAAAATTGCATGATAGTAAAAATAAAGATAATCTAATTTGCCCAGTAAAAAAAAACTAAGATAATGGACTGAAAATTCCTTAGCCAGTTGTCAAATTGGTCGCTCGATCACTTCGTTTCTTTCACACGTTTTCGCACGATATCGCTGTCGCACTTTCTAGAAAATGTTCTATTGCAAGCAGGTATAGCTCAGTCCATAATAATATGCTCCATAGCTATGGTTTACCTAAATCAAACTTTCATAAAAAGCATGGTGAACTTTAATTATAGATCACATCATACTTTTTCTCTAATGGATATTATGAGCTCACATCAAATCCATAATCAAATGTTTGATATGAAGTGTTTTATACAGTAAGTAAAATAAATAAGTAAACAAAACTAAAAAAATATAACATGATTATAATATGTCATACTCCCTTCGGGGTATGTTGAGTAAGTGTCAGAATGTCCAGTGTGTCAAAATGACAAGGAAATAATGCCCAGTTGTCATAACATCCAGGTGTCAAAATAACAAACTATATTTGTAAAATGTCTGATTGCCATAATGTCAAGGTACCAAAAAGTCATAATAATGAGGAATTGGCTGTATGGATTTAATCCAAGTAACGGTCTTTATAATATCTGGCCATTATGACTTTTAGGATATTCAGAGACTTTATACACATTGACTAACAGTCTTTTTAACATCTGGACATTAAGAATTCTAGGACATAATATAAGACTTGTACCCATTGACTAACGGTCTTTATAACATCTAGACATTATGAATTCTAGGACTTTCAGACTCTTGTACACATTGACTAACGGTCTTTATAACATCTGGACATTATGAATTCTTGGACATTGAGACTTGTACACATTCACTAATGGTCTTTATAACAGCTGGACATTATGAATTTTTGGATATTCAGAGACTTGTACACATTGACTAACGGTATTTATAACATCTGGACATTATGACTTCTTGGACATTCAGACTTGTACATATTGACTTATGGTCTTTTGAGACTTTACGAACCCTTGGCCCAACATACTTCGGATGGGTCATACTCATGTAAACAAGACATTCGTAGTGATTCAATATTTTAACATTTTCAATACCCTTCCAATATTTGACTGCAATGACATCAAGACCGAGTTTGATATGAAATATCAATGAGCTCGACACATGCTCGATAGATTTAAATTAAAATTCCATCATATTATCATTGTCTTACTTGAAAGCAAGTCCAGTGATGGGGCTGCTACCCGAGTCGGGAAGAGTCTTCATCTTTCCGCTGCGTTGTCGCGCTATATCCCCTCGAAATAGAGTTACAGAGCCATCTTGAAAGCCCACAGCTAAGAGACTCTGCACAAACATATACTCATATTTTTATTTTTGTAAGCAATTAAGTAAATGCTAGATGTTTAAATCTAAAGAAATTTTTACTAGAAAAAATTCTACGCGGCAGCACACGAGACACCCTTCGCTATCCGGGGTAATGCCCTGCCCATTATGCTACCGCGTCTCTGATGGCCGCGTCGAATTTTCTCCAGCTTTTCGTAGGCGGCAGCGCCATCTCTTCCCAAAAATTAGTTTGGCATTTCTTCTTTCAAATGTTAAATACTTATAAAGGTATTCATTTGAAACTGTGGGTTACCTACAATGCAAAGAGGTGGTGCATTGGTAGGTGCTAACGACCGCAGATGCAGCCGGGACAAATGGTTTTATGTGCCTTCCGAAGCACGTAGAAATTTGCGATAGTCAAATTTTTGGTCACCCATCCAATGGCCGACCACTGCAAAAGTTGCTTAACTTCAACGATCGCAGCCGTACACGGTAACCATTTAAGTAAATAAATGTTCTCGCAGAATAGGGTTATGCCCATTGGCAGCACCCGTCCTCAAGCATGACGGGAACAGTTTACCTTGTTATCGTGCACAGCCAATGCAGTGACAGGCGTGGGTCGCATATGCGAGGGCACTGCGCGCGAAACTCGTACGCATGTGGGGTTCCCATGCCGATCGTTACGAGACCAGTCCCATACCTTTATCAAGGGATTTACACCCGCTTCGTCGTCCTGAAAGCATTGAATATTGATAGAAGAATGTTCAAAACGATTTACAATACTGTTTCTTTTTATTGTAATCCAATCTTAATGTAATAAAAGTATTCATATAGATAAAAACAGACATTGTCAGATACATTGGCTAGGAGGGGGAGGCCCTTGAAATTAAAAACAATGCTTAAATATTTAACACTAGTTCTCCTTTACCATAGATTGTTTTCGCTAGTCCATGCGTTTTTTTATTTTCTATGGCTTAACAAGGCTTTTTCTAGACTGATTTCTTGGCTTGCCTTTTGGAAAGAACAAAAGGAAGAAAATTTTAACGTCACTTCACAACATAGTGTTTTGATATGAATCTTACTTAATGTAGATCAAGATGAAAATCTCGATGTCATGTGCTAATTGGAGGACTGTTTCTTTTCAGCCATAGGCTGATTTTCATAACTATAGAAATTTTTATATTGAACCATGCAATAACCCTTTGTCATTACAAGGAAGCGAGGCTTTTACCTTTATATTCATTCAACTCTAACAAAGATGCAGTGGAGACAGTAAGGGCATTTTTATTACTAAGAAGATATATGTCCAGTAAGAGAAAATTGTTCCATTGTGTAAAATTCAGGTAAAGATTATAAACATAAGATGATAAATTTATTGGACCTAGCTTCTAAATTCAAGAAATTATTATTGGCAAACAGTTAGAATTTTCAATATAAAGACAACCCAAAGTGAGTATGGATTTGTTTCAAATCCCCTTGCGATTAATAGTTCATACCCTTCCGGCAAGTCTATTGAGGTAGGTCTAGAACTGAGCACTTTTTTAATTTTATTTCGACCTATCCATATTGCTGTAAAACACAATATTGTTTTTCTTACATATTTCTTTTTTACTTTTTTTTATAACAATATATAGCTACGAAAATAAAACAGATACATTAAGTCATTAAAAATGTTTTCTCAATTATGCATGAAAAATGCATTTAGCTTTCAACTATCATAGCATTGATTGACAGCAATTCTAATAATGTATGTGCAAGCAATGTCAAACTATGCAAAAATACCCAATTTATTTAAGAAATCAACATTTTGGTAAAAAGCAACCTGATTAAAAAGTCAATTAATGAGTGGTGTGCGTGAATATCTAAGAAACAACTAAGTCAACTAAGATCAGTCTAAACATTAAAATTTTTAACAAATAATTAGCTTACACTTAATTTTATACAAATTCTGAATTTGATATTTATTTAATACAAAATTTAATTCAATACTTTTTATTACTACCTAGTTCAAAATTAGGAAGAATTCAGAGTCTAACTTATATATTTCTTTTTTATGTTAAAAGAGTAGCAAATAAGCATATGGCCCATGTGATGGTAAGCAGCCACCTGTGAAGAACCACTGCTACAGACCCTTGCAACACATAAAAACGAAACAAACGGGCATTCAAAATTCCACTAAACCCTGTGCCTCTTAAATACATTTCCCTGAGTACATCTAAGAATATTACTTACTCCAATAGTAACCAAGTAAGGATCGTGTGGTAGCTGTTGTGCAAGAGTGACTGTTAATTCATATGCCTTAAAACAGGTCACCTCCCAATTTCTAGTGATTAGGTGAGCCCAACCTGTCACATCACATAGTACTACATGTCCATTTCCACTTGTGGACACTGTTACATGTGTGTCCTGAAATTGTAACAACCAAGCTGATATAAAATATGCACTAAAAACAGGATCAAAGAAATTCATAAATACCCATTTTTTTTTTGGTTTGTGGCTTTTCCCATTTTTCACAGAATTTTCACTAATGTCCCATAGTGAGCGAGACATGAGAGAGATTGCTCAGTACATAGTTATTTAAACAAAGATTTGATATCTCAGGACTATCTATTTGGAAAATGTAAATATTTAATTTTAACATGAACAATGACATTGATTATGGTTGATTATGGGCAATGTTAATAAGTAAACATGCTCAAGTGACTAATTTTTCATAAATTATATAAAAAAGTTAACTTCAATACTCTTTGAGAATATGTTTAATTTTAGTTTAACAATATAAGACAATAATTTTTAAATTCAGTGGATTTTGTTTTACATCAACAGTGATTTTGAAACTTACTTGCAAGCATTCTGCTATTTTCTTGTTGTCCACATTGTGATGTGTATCAAAGAAAGTAAAACGCCGCCACTGAAATTTTTCAGTTTTATTTGTAAACATATTTTACATTGAATACGTATTATATAAAACACTTTATTATCAAATGTAAACAAATTCGAGTATACAGTACAAAAATAGCCAGAGGAATATTAATTAGTTGTGTAAGGGGCGTAAAAATGAAACACAATTTTTAAGCATCGAACCACTACTGGAACTTCCGCAAAACTGATTAAAATTTACCTCCAAAAATGCCATTGTGATAGCGACTTATCAGTTCAAATCGTTTATGACCATTTTCATATAAACAATTTCAATAAATTATTTTCCTCTTGATAATGAAAATAAAAATACAACACCAACACAACAATACAATCCGAGAAAAGTCAATTTGACGTTTTTTGTTTTTTTTTTTTTTGGTTGTTTTGTCCCTGTTGGGACGGGCAAAGGATTGTTTTTTTTTTGTTGAAGTTTTCCCGTTTTAGGGAAGGCAAAGAGAACAATGCCCATACAGCCTGGTTTTAAATTTATCTTTTTTTTGTTTTTACATTAGAATGTCGGTGTGACGCATTCTAATTTTACTTGGAGTATTTGGCACGAAATGTATCGAGTTGGCTTTTTCGATAAGCTTCTGTGAGGTAGTCAACACTACAATAAAATTCTCACGTCCACTTGACCGGAGTAGCGTATATTTTAACGATTCCACTAATTCTTCAGTTACGCAGACGGTTGTTACACAAAACCACACCAATTTTATTTCACAATATCCACTATGAATGAATTTAAGAATAATTAAAATAAGACGCCAATCGCACTCGATGAAATAGGCTAGTTTACTCACGTCGAATTGTATTAAATAAATGTTTATTTCTTAAAGTGCTTAGTCTAGGAACCCTTAATATATCGATTTCACTTCATAAAAGTAGAAGATTGCTGTAGAAATTTAATTTAAAAAAATATTTTGTAGTCTATATTTTTTAAACACTAAAAACGCTGTTCGCCACATTCGCCATGATTTTGACGTCTCTTGTGGTAAACAACTAAATGTCATTCGCGTGTTACTGTAGGTGGATTCTTTCGTCTGACTAAATTTATCTTAAAACACTTTTAACTTTAGGAAAGAAAAAAACAGTAAACTTAGTTTTTTTTGACTAAACAAATTATGGATGACGGCTTTGTGAAAGCAGAAAGCACAAATCTGCCAAGAATTGACGCATTGATGGTTGGTGAATTTGTTGCACTAAACCCCGATTTCTGCTCTGCGGAGCAGAGAAACGACAAGGCATCTATGTAAGTACAGTGCATTTAGTATTACAATGTAGTAATAAACATAAAACTGATACAACATATGAATAAGTGTAATAAAGTTGCGTAGGTTAATTTCTTTCGGCATTTTAATCCACAACTTTCCTGGAGTCTTCAAGGATGTGTTTTTATATTCTCGTACAATACAATAATGATAATTACTTTATTTTTCGTGGTATTTATTAGAAATCATGTTTTTTTTTTATTATAAACTCAGTTAAAAGTAATTTTCTACGTGTTTACGAGTTTTTGTTTACCACAGTTCACGTCATAGCATAGATAATCTATAGACTAAAATGGCCGACAGCGTTTTTGTATGTCCATGAAAAGTCTATTTTAAAATTAAAGATTTGTAGCTTTCTAGGTTTAAAAAAAATACAATACATTTTTTTTCGGTCTAATAGAACATTTATTAACCATTTAAAACCTTTTTCCAAAAAGAGTCAACTAGCCTATTCCGCCAAAAAACCGTTTTTTTTTTGTAATATTGGTGTCGATTCTAGCATGATTCTCTAATCCTAAACTTAAATTTGACAGCAGTTTATCCTTGTCATTCTCTATACAGAATAAAAAGGAGAGACTGATGTTAAATTTAGTTTTAAGTTTAGAGAATCACGTCAGAATTGGCACCATTATCTCTTTTAGGGACAAACAAAGGAAATAAAGTCCGTCCAAGTAGCAAAGTCAGCAATATTTTTATTTTTCTTCTTTTTAACAATAAAATGCGGGTATACATTTTAATATTTTTTTGAGTATTTGGCATGAAATGTGTTTTTGACGTGACAACGTCTTAAATTAGGTTGCGGCTGGGAGTCACTTATGAAAAAGTGTAACGCTCGGTAACGTTACGATGAGTCTCTCGTGTTAAGTTTAAGTTTACATGTACAATGTTTTAGTAAACAAAATATATTTCTATAGTTAAAATTTGTGCAATTCTTATTTTCATTCAATTCCTTGTTCCTATTGTGCAATTTAATTATATTCATATCAATAAATATTCTACCGAGAAAAAGACGTTGTCACGTAAAATCTTCGCCCGTAAAACCGACTTTACAGGCAACCATTTTTTTTGTTTTGGTGAACATTTGGTTCACTGGTTTGCTAGTATAATATAATATTTTAATATTTTACTGTCTCATTTTTTTTTGATAAGCTAATATGATGTAACCAGCAGTACAATAAAAGTTCTCACGTTTTACATTATAATTAATTATCTACTATATAAGAACGAATCAGTAAGCAAGTAAAAGTTATTATAACCGAGGAAGTTATATACCTAACGGTAACAGAATCTTGAGATTCAGATTATTCAGTTGATTCCCTTGGTGCAATTTATTTTTACACTTTTTTTACACGTTATTACTTGTTTGTAAAATTTCGGTATGGCCGTACTATCCTTTTCGGGTTCTGGGTTGTCCCAATACCTGGCGATGGTTCGTGTTTATTTCATTCTTTGTCTTTTTCTATGTATGGGAATAATAAGTCGTCGTATGAGATTAGACTTGCTATAGTCGAGTATGTGATAGCGCATTGGGAGGAGTTACAACTGTATACAATGTGACGAGCGCAGAGACCCCTACAACTACATTAAACGCTGATTTGTACACGTCGGCAATGGTAAAAACAACTACTTATCGTTCCGCGTCTGAACTTATGGAGGCCGCCGCTTTGTGTCCGTGTGTTTTTGAGGTTTACGAAGAAATACGCTTGTAAACTTTCGAAACACAGGACTGGCTTATGTGGAGCCGACGAACGACAACCCGCTGGCTGAGCTCTTCTTGCAATAGGGTCACGATTTGTGCTGCTTCTGTAGGTGTTCTCTCCATTGTCATACAAGTTAAAGGATCAAAAGTAGCGGAGATGTGTGAAAAACCAATAACAGGTGCTTTTATAGGGGGTCAATAGGTCACAACTTGCGACTTATCAAACAATTGAAAAAAGTCTTTTTCGTTATTCCTTCACTTCATCCAGGATAGCTTCTATACTGGCTTGATTTTAATGAATTCGGTATCAGTTAAAGTTAGGGGTGGAACCTTTAAAATGATGTTAATTTTATTAAAAAAATATATAGTATATAAGATCGCGTGGAACCAATTTCAAGTTAGTGATTCCAGACTTTTGCTTGCGAGTGTAGTTTTTATAAACGTACTAGATCAATTTTCTTGTACCTTTGGACAGAGGGAAATGCCTGTAATGGCGTCTCCCGTTATTCTTACTCAAAGGCTAGAAAGGATAAACTGTCGCTTGGCCAGAATCCAACCATACCATTGCAGAGGAGGAAGATGTTGCATGCATCGGTCGCAGGGCAGTAGCCAGAGTCGTATTTAAGATAGAGCCGGCACGGATACACAGAGCGAGCTGTGGTCCTTGATTCAAATCTATCAGCAATGATCTAAATAATAATGTCCTTATATATCTAGGTCGCCTTTCCCTATAATCCTGTATATTATAATGGCCTTCATCCACTATATTCTTCGTTGACATACTTGTCTACCTACCTTTATAATAATATCTATGTTTTTATTTCAAAGGTTTAGGTACCTACCTAATTTATAAAACAAAAGTTGATGCATAGCAATTTATAATTTTCTATCTAGGTAGATTACAAGTTTGACGTTCGTTTACTAGCTGTGCTGGTAGCGTGGTTGAGAAGTTTGTCCCAAAGTTTTTCGCTAACTGTTCCAGGTCCATGACTCCTGGACTCCGTGTCTAGATCAACTTCTATCAAAGTGTACAATGACTTCAGGTCTAAATTACTGATGGTATATGTAAGTGTCGAAAGTCCATCGAGCAGATTTAGCGGAGAAGAAGTTTGGATTTTTTGAGACCTGAAAAAAAATGGTTATTTTAAATATTAGTTACCTACTTAAATTAACTGCAATCATCTATCATCAATTCATTTATTCGCAAATTCACTTAGGCGACTTGCGTTTTCCTACCTTTTTAAGTAACATTGAGAATTGTCATCGCCTTTCATTGTCTGTCATTTCGTTTCCTACGATTTTTGCGACATTCGATGTACCAAATCATCCAACAACATATATATATATATATATATATATATATACTATAAAACGCTAGTCCTATTAAGGTACTTACTGGTTGCTATTGACATTATCTTCGCTGTTATTTATTGACGGTAAAAGCTTGTATGTAGCAATAGCAGCTTCACTTTTAGCTATTGTGAAATTAGCGCTGGTCAATCTGAAATCATGTATGGGAGATAAAGTATAGATATAGCAGGTGCTTGTCATTATAACCCAATATCTTTAAACTTAAATAAAACTAGTTTTTCACGGGTTAATGCACGAAACATTATTTTTATATTTTTATAAAATATATATATATAGTTTTATTTAATGAGTTATGTGCGTGAAAACCTAAGAAACAAATATCTTTAAACTTGATATTAACGTAGTTGAAATTAAAGAAATACTATCACAACTAAGTAGGCTTTACAATTTTTACGACACTCGTATCGAATTGTTAAATTACCTATGTACTCGTATGTAGGTTCTTATAAGTACACTTATCTCGACCTACTAAACTTACAGCTGATTAAGAGCAACCGCACACTAAGCCACTAAACGCAACCACAAATCGAAGCCGCTAGTGGCCGCCACTAAGCCACCAACGGCTTCGATTGGTGGCTGCGTCTGGTGACTTGACGGAGCTACTAGTGGTCGCGTTTAGTGGCCGCGATTAGTGGCTCAATGTGCGGTTGGTTTAAAAGTCTGAAGTCTACCAGAGCTCTAAAAACAAATACACAAACCTTGCTGTCAAATCATCATACACAGCATCGTTTCCAATGTACAGATTAGAAAATCCATTGATTTTCAAAAACTGATGAGGTTTGATGGCTAAAGCTCCTCCAAATTGAAATTCATATGACCTAAAGTAAATACAAAAGTCTTAAAATACCTAAGAACTAGTAACTAGTAGAGATAACTGTGTAATATGGTTAATAAACCAAGTAAATTGGACTTTGAATTGGAATCGAAGAATTAATTTACAGCAAACTGCAGAAGTTACTTAATTTAGTCCTAAATGCATAAATTCCGAGTTTGCACATCATGCATTTAAGGTCAAACGAAGGTATAAATAAATAAATATTTTCGACAATCACACCAATTAGCCTAGCCCAAGCCCCAAACAAAGCACTATAAGGCTTGTGTTATGGGATACTAGGGTAACGGATAGAATACATAAACATATACTATTCATATATAAGTATATTTATATAAAATACATATTAAACATTCATGACTGGAGTACAAATGCTCGTATTCATCACACAAACATCTGCCCCCACCGGGATTCGAACCCGGGATCACGAGTCGGCGGCACCATGAAACCCGGCGTACAAACCACTCGGCCACGCAGGTATAAAAACGATTTTACAATTATTATGAATATTATTCCTCAAAACGATTTTAATGGATCTTGCTTAAGCTATAATTACTATTATTATTTTAATAATTAGATTGATATTTTTTGTTTTAGAGAATATTTAAATCACAGCGGGGATGACACTGCTCAATAGTACCCATATTTGGCAGGTTTCAAAGGATACCAACAAATTACACCAAATTCGTGTGAAAAAACATGTTGTAGAGTTAGGCCCCAAGTGGGCCTAGAGAGTGACTAGAGATACTAGAGTTCTTCAATCAAAAATCGAGCGAAACTTACAGTCGTCGCGTATGATTATATTTGAAACTTCACCTTAGGTATATTAGTAAAAAAAGAAATAAAACCTACTACAAAAGGAATAAGCCATTTGAACATTATGTTCTAAAATAAAATCAAATAGCGCACGCTTTCGCGACTTCCTGTTACACACTTCCGTCCCATTTCACGAAATAACTCCCACAATTTGCAGGAAAGCGAGAGGAAAGATATATGTATATATATATATATATATATATATATATATATATATTTATAAATAAATTACACCAAATTGTTTATAAAAATATACAATGTTAAATTTTATTTTTTTAATTTAAAATTGTATATTTTTATAAAGATTAAAGATTTAAATTAAATTCGATACATCAAAAAGTCTCATTCTATGGCACAGCGCACACCAGGACAGACACGGCGAAGATACTGAGAAGTTAAAAATTTAAGTTGCAGATGCAAGCTGAGAGAAATTTAAACGAAACGTCTTAGGAAATAGGTATTTGAAAAAACTATTGCTGTCGTGCATTGGCAAATACCGAACAGTAGCCAACGCTGAAAATTGCGTATAAAAATTGCATAATTCGAGGTTTGGTTAGACAATTTCCTCCTCGAAAATTAGGTATATGTAAAGGCAATTTAACCCAAATAATAATAAGTAATTATAATAGGCCTTTTGTTTGCTTTTGTTTTTTTCAAATGCTTTTTGAATCTCCAAACAAGTTTAGTTTTGGAATCTTTGAGGGCTTCTGTTTTTTTGAAACACAAGTAATCGAAAAAAGGAAGACATAGGAGCAAATAATTAGTAAAATTATAAATTACTAGCTGTACCCTGCCACGCTTCGCAGTGGCACATTGTGATTGAATGGTTGAGAAATGAGAAACAAAACAAAGAATACATTTCACATAAGTTTAATTTTGCAATAACGTTTTTTTTTGTAAATAAACAATGCGGTTGTCAGCGAGTGTTTTCCTCGCTTCTGGCAGATGGCGCGGTCACTGGTACACAGCTGATCGTTAAAAAAAACTGTTTTCTGGCGGTCGCAGATATGTCACTGATGCAAAAAATAGATAAAAACAATCCTTGATGCGGATTTTATATCATGTTAAAATTTCAACTCAATCGGTGCAGAACTTTTTGAGTTTTTGAAGCGTATACAAACCAAAGCATTGCTCACCTCCCCTCTTAAACCCTTACTCTTATAAAAAAAAACATGGCGAACATGGAAAAAAGCAAGAGGCGCACAGCGTTGGGAAACGGCCACGAGAGCCATCGTGCGGCTACTCCGCTTCGTGGTTCTAGACCTGATGTGCGCTGCGCCTTACTCTATTTGACTTTAAGCAATTGCTAAAAGATTATATATCTTAATTTGATTTCAGAATGATGGTGCTAGTGGCCCTTAGGCTACCTTCAAAATTGTTTTTCTATGGCTGTTAATTAGTTGCGTTGGGAGCTTTTACTCACTGATTCGTATTAAGCGAGAGAACCAGCTGACGCGGTTGGTCCGAGCAACGGTAGAGGTTGCGCGTGTCCAGGGGCACCAAGTCGAAATGGTGAAAAACTATACACCGCCAGCCACCGTTCTTCTTCATTTTCTGAGCCTCGGTGAAGCCCACATTGAAAAGCTTTCCTCTGTTCAAAGGCTGAGTCTTGTTTTCTTGACAAATAGAAATTTTAAATGGGTTTTATCCATACAAATTAATATTATAAATGCGGAAGTTGTTTGCCTGTCTGTATCCCACTAGTATTATAAATGTGATAGTGTGTATCTTTATGTGATTATTACCTCTTCACGCTTAAACCGATGAACCGATTTAGATAAAATTTAGTGGAGATAGTTTGAGTCCCGGGAAATGACATAGGATAGTTTTTATCCTAAAAATCACCATTTAACGGAGTGAAAAGGGGAGTGGAAGTATGTGAGAGAAACCAACTTTTCCACGCGGACGAAGTCGCGGGTACTAGTGCGTTATCAACTTCATCGCAATATTAGTAAATAGAATTTACTCTGCCCGTTTACAAATTCCTACAACAGATTACATGCCTGCCAGCGAGGCGCGGATGGCTGGGGTAGCAGATACGGGTGCCTAAGACGCGGAAGAATCCCTAAACGGGGATCCCGCGGCTTCACGCTAAGCAGCTTAGAGGGTATTCGCAGGGTTTTAGCGGATATTATGCCGTAAAGCGCCCGTAAGAGTTACGGGGTCCTCAGTGAGCAGCCACTGCTGGGGCTCCTAAGGCTTGCGGGAGCCAGGTGTGAGGTCCGTTCGGCGGTGTGCCTCTTAAAGGCGCCGTCGTCTGTAAATAGTATTTTTTGCCTGCGTATAAAAAAAAAAGGTACGGGTGCCTAAAACTTCTGCACCAGCTATCTTCGTATCTGGAACTTCAACTTCATTCGGTCCCATAGAGATGTAGACCCTTTTTTAAAATTTGGAAGTGCTGTCTTCAGCTTGCTTATAGATTTTGTAAACCGTGTTATATAAAAAATGAAAGTACCTCCTTGTAGAAGCGCACTCTATCAGAGGAGCTTATCTGCATTAAATCATAGATAATGATCGTATTTCGAGGTGCATTACTAAGTGAGTTACTGTTAGGTTTTTAAATAAAAGCGATTCAAATCTTGGCTACAGGAGAAATCTTTTTTGTTTCAAAGTTGATAGATCTTTGTTGCCATTTGCCATTACTTCTTAGGTTGGCATGGTGACTGCAAATGTTAATTTGACTTCAAACTATAGATTTAAGTAAATAATATGTTTTATTTCTTTTTATTAGTCTCGTTTTTATGAAGTCGGTATTCATATTTTTGCTAAAAGGTAGGTAGGTACCTAACAAATAACAGCTTACAAAAAGCTTTCATTTGCTATGATAAATCTGATGTCTGTTCATGTGTCGCTACAATTTCATTTATTTATCTCACCCACATCTCACCTTGTTCAATTAAAAATATTTGGTATTCCAACTGCTGCTTGATCAATATTGGATGTAGCGAATAAAGGAATTCGGTAATTTGATTCGTGTGGTCTCTGTAAAAATATCGTAATTAAAAGGGTGGTAGTAAAAACCACCAAATTAAGTGTAAATAATTACATTTCTTATTAAATAATTGCTAGAACTTATCTCAAAAAATAATGAACCCCGAAATATTACAGACTTAGTAGATATTTGTATAGAAGCTCAAAAATTAGATCAGCTGAGAATGACTGAAATATTTTCTTCCCGTCATCATGGTATCATCATCAAAAAAATGGTAAAAGTGTATTGATTTGATTTCATCTCTCTCTTAAGTTGTCTCATCGAAACAGATTTAGAAGTTTAGCTTGGATCTAAGTACTTAGTTTTGTAGAGATTGGGATTTGCACGTGTTGTGAACATTACGCAACTAGTTTATCAGGTGCCACAACAGCAATAATAGGAATGCGGATCGGGTGAATGGTGCATGAGTGTCTGATTTTTACTGAGTTGGGCCTCCTCATTTCACCAAGCCTCTTGGCTGGATGAGGGGGCTTGGCTTGGCGATGGCGCAAGTGGTTAGCGCGTTCGGCTGCGATCGTTGAAATTAAGCAACTTCCGCAGTGGTCGGTCATTGGATGGGTGATCAAAAATTTACGAAGGTACGTTAAGCCGTTGGTCCCGGCTGCATCTGCAGTCGTTAGCGCCCACCAATCCGCACTGGGCGGTGGGTCATGGCCCAATCTCCCTATTTCATCCATAGGGAAGGCCTGTGCCCTAGCAGTGGGGACATTAATAGGCTGATGATGATGATGATGAAAAAAAATTGTCATGTACATAACTACCTGTATGGCACAATGATAGCAACGGTTTGTCGGGGTGTGCACGAAGTCTCTTCATAAATACCACCGGACTGAAGTAAAGAGTACAAATTCTCTATAACACTGAAATCGATCTTTTCATTAGCATCCACAGGGCCTAAAACAAATAATAAGCAAAAACTTGTTGTTAAAATTACGAATGTTGAAATCGGAACGTGAATATTCAGCATTGTTTTAGCAAGAAATAAGTGAAAGCGATGGATGGCAAATAAGCAGTAATATGTTGATATATGGACACATCTTTAAACATTGATTTAAAGACTATGCCCTGCGGTTTCAACAGCGTTAATTTGAGAAAAAAGGTCAGGAGTCAGCCACAAAAGATAGAATATGCTACCGCGAACTTGTTTTGAGAACTTTTGAAGAGAAACAGTGAAACACTGCCGTCATGGATCACTATTAGCATTATGATTAATTATCATACGATTTAAGCGTGATTTCAACATTGAGGGAGCGTTGACTGAACATAATAATAAAATGCTTTTTTGCCATTAAATTTTGTAAAAGAAATACCTAAGCCAGGCGGCGTCTTGGGACAGACGACCGGACCCATTCGTATGCCGTTATAATAGTAAAATGAATTGGTTTCAGAGCTCTGCTCCCGGTAATCTGCCGGGGGTGCTGTGGCTGGATGATCTGGCGCTTCTTCAGTCGGCGAGAACTTATCTGTGCTTGCGTTGTTCGTGTTGTTATTACATATAAGAGATGCCATCCAATCGATAGTGCGAGTTATGCGCTTTTTCATAATGAAGTGTCTGCATGGAAAAGCTTCGTGTTTAGATTTTAGTAGAACTTTACTTCCTGGGCCCAAGAGGTGATACTTGACGTTTTCTTGTTGAAAAGGTCTCTATTAACGTTTTTTTTTCTAACGCTTCGCTGGTCGCTACTGCGGCACGCTCGCTTTGCTCGTTTGTTCACAACACTAATCTAACCTAGTGTGAAGTGTTACACACCTCTTGGGCTCAGTATATCCTAGATTTTCGTAGTTTTAATTTTGTTTGTTGGAATTCGGACAAAAACTGCGTTGAATATTTAGTTCAAGTAGCTCAACCCTACTTCCATTTATAAGTGATTTAAACGTATCTGGTCAGTGTAGGGTAAAAAACAGTTTAATTAGAAAAATATACACTTAATTAATGTCAAAGTTTGTATGCTTGTTGCTTACTCGATCGCTTTAAAACCGCTGAATGGATTTGGATGAAATATAGCACACATATTAAAAAATATTAGCTGGAATGAAACATACTAGCTATACTATATTATTACTTTTTGCCCAGAAAAAAATTGGGGTTCCTATCATTGAGGTGACTAAGTCAATAAAAACTAAGCAATTTGTTTACTTATAGACATGCTTGGATAGGTACCTCGTCTTTGGCAGTTTTATGTGTAAGTTGACCTTCACAGCTTTATGTGACGGTGGATCGTAAAACCAATAAAAGACATAATTGGTCAAATTCAAGAGCGCAGCTGCGAGAAAGAACATCATCAGCAATTTCAGCGTTTGCGGCGACATTATCGATCACTTTTATTAGATTTTATTCAAAAAGTCATGTAATAATTTAAAATATTAAAATTGTCTATTTGACACAAACGGCAGTGCACAGAGAAAGTATAACCATTTCGTTTAGGTACCTAGCATAGATACTTTTTATAATACCTAAATCTTATATAAATATTGTGCCTATAACTTCATGGTTCGTACTTTCGACCATAGAGGTATAAGAATAGAATGGGGAAGGCGCCTCTAAAAATGTCCGTCTAGTAGAAAGAGAGAAAGGACGAGAGACCGCTTGCTATCTTTCTCTCTTGTGACGTATGCGCAGTCGTGTGATTTCAAACAAGTGGCAGTAGAAAGTACATTCAATTATGAAACCATAGTATTTTTCAAATAAAAAAAACTCAATCAAGCGGTAATTTCTAACGACACGTTTTCTTTACGAATAAAACTATGATAATAGTCATAACGAGCGAGGCCGGGTATCATAGCTAGTTTAACATAAATCTCAATTCAATCAACACTTCGACGTACCAAACAATCCAAAAGCTCTACGACAATATGGTATAACATCTAAATAGTAAGATGCTTACGGTTACCAATGCGCATACGCGATTAGAGAGAGAAAGCTAGCGGTCTCTCAACTTCTTTCTCTTTCAATAGAATTCCCTCTAATAAGAGGGACACTTCCACTTGTAGTAGAGTCTTTAATTCCCCTACTCTATTCTTATATCTATAAAAAAATAAGCGCATGAGATTTTGCAGGTGTCAAAAGCATAGAGGATGCTTTTGACACCTGCAAAATCTCATGCGCTTATTTTTTTTTATATATTTTTTAATTGTATATATTATATTATTAATTGTATCTCTCTATCCTTACAGAGGATTAAGTCGTCCAAAGTAATCAGGGTATTGCTGCCTAGCTAGCTGCCTAGCTAGTTGCCTAGCTAGTTGTGTAGTTAGTTGCCTAGCTAAGCTACCTAGCTTGTTGCCTAGCTAGCTGTGTAGCTAGCTACCTAGCCTCCCTAGCTAGTAGCCTATGTAGCTAAGCAACTGCTAAGCAACTGCTTAGCTAGCTGCCTAGCTAGTTGTCTAACTAGCTAGGCAGCTAGCTGCTTATCTAGTTGCCTAGCTAGATGCCCAGCCAGCTGCCTAGCTAGCTGCCTAGCTAGTTGTGTAGTTAGTTGCCTAGCTAAGCTACCTAGCTTGTTGCCTAGCTAGCTGTGTAGCTAGCTACCTAGCATCCCTTAGCTAGTAGCCTGTGTAACTAGCTGCATAGCTACTTGCCTAGCTAGCTACCTAACCTAGCAAGCTACCTATCTAGTTGAATAGCAAGCTACCTTGCTAGTTGCTTAGCTACGTGCCCAACTAGCTGCCTAGCTAGTTGTGTAGTTAGCTACCTAGATACCGGCTTAGCTAATTGCTTAGCTAGCTGCTTAGCTAGTTTCCTAGCTAGCTGCTTAGCTAGTCTGCTGCTGAGCTAGTTGCCTAGCTAGCTGCTTAGCTAGTAGCCTAGCTAGCTGCTTAGCTAGTAGCCTAGCTAGCTGTGTAGCTAGTGGCCTAGCTAGCTGCTGAGCTAGTTGCCTAGTCTGCTGCTGAGCTAGTTGCCTAGCTAGCTGCTGAGCTAGTTGCCTAGCTAGTGTCCTAGCTAGCTTCTTAGCTAGTTGCCTAGCTAGTTGCTTAGCTAGCTGCATAGCTAGTTGCTTAGCTAGTTGCCTTGCTAGTTGCTCAGCTAGTTGCCTAGCTAGTTGCCTAGCTAGTTGCCAAGCTGGTTGCTTAGCTAGTTGCTTAGCTAGTTGCTCAGCTAGTTGCCTAGCTAGTTGCTCAGCTGGTTGCCTAGCTAGTTGCTAAGCTAGATGCCGAGCTAGCTGCTGAGCTAGTTGCCTCACTAGCTTCTTAGCTAGTTGCCTAGCTAGTTGCTTAGCTAGTTGCCTAGCTAGCTGCTGAGCTAGTTGCCTAGCTAGTGTCCTAGCTAGCTTCTTAGCTAGTTGCCTAGATAGTTGCTCAGCTAGTTTCCTAGCTAGCTGCATAGCTAGTTGCTTAGCTAGTTGCTCAGCTAGTTGCCTAGCTAGTTGCTCAGCTAGTTGCCTAGCTAGTTGCTCAGCTAGTTGCCTAGCTAGCTGCTTAGCTAGTTACTTAGCTAGCTGCTCAGCTAGATGCCTAGGTAGCTGCTGAGCTAGTTGCCTCGCTAGTTGCCTAGCTAGTTGTGTAGTTAGTTGCCTAGCTAAGCTACCTAGCTTGTTGCCTAGCTAGCTGTGTAGCTAGCTACCTAGCCTCCCTAGCTAGTAGCCTATGTAGCTAAGCAACTGCTAAGCAACTGCTTAGCTAGCTGCCTAGCTAGTTGTCTAACTAGCTAGGCAGCTAGCTGCTTATCTAGTTGCCTAGCTAGCTGCCCAGCCAGCTGCCTAGCTAGCTGCCTAGCTAGTTGTGTAGTTAGTTGCCTAGCTAAGCTACCTAGCTTGTTGCCTAGCTAGCTGTGTAGCTAGCTACCTAGCATTCCTTAGCTAGTAGCCTGTGTAACTAGCTGCATAGCTACTTGCCTAGCTAGCTACCTAACCTAGCAAGCTACCTATCTAGTTGAATAGCAAGCTACCTTGCTAGTTGCTTAGCTACGTGCCCAACTAGCTGTCTAGCTAGTTGTGTAGTTAGCTATCTAGATACCGGCTTAGCTAATTGCTTAGCTAGCTGCTTAGCTAGTTTCCTAGCTAGCTGCTTAGCTAGTCTGCTGCTGAGCTAGTTGCCTAGCTAGCTGCTTAGCTAGTAGCCTAGCTAGCTGTGTAGCTAGTGGCCTAGCTAGCTGCTGAGCTAGTTGCCTAGTCTGCTGCTGAGCTAGTTGCCTAGCTAGCTGCTGAGCTAGTTGCCTAGCTAGTGTCCTAGCTAGCTTCTTAGCTAGTTGCCTAGCTAGTTGTCTTGCTAGTTGCTCAGCTAGTTGCCTAGCTAGTGTCCTAGCTAGCTTCTTAGCTAGTTGCCTAGCTAGTTGCTTAGCTAGTTTCCTAGCTAGCTGCATAGCTAGTTGCTTAGCTAGTTGCTCAGCTAGTTGCCTAGCTAGTTGCTCAGCTAGTTGCCTAGCTAGTTGCTCAGCTAGTTGCCTAGCTAGCTGCTTAGCTAGTTACTTAGCTAGCTGCTCAGCTAGATGCCTAGGTAGCTGCTGAGCTAGTTGCCTCACTAGCTGCTTACTTAGTTGCTCAGCTAGTTGCTTAGCTAGTTGCCTAGCTAGCTGCTGAGCTAGTTGTCTCGCTAGCATCTTAGCTAGTTGCCTAGCTAGTTTCTTAGCTAGTTTCCTAGCTAGTTGCCTAGCTAGCTGTGTAGCTAGCTACCTAGCCTCCCTAGCTAGTAGCCTGTGTAGCTAGCTGCATAGTTACTTGCCTAGCTAGCTACCTAGCCTAGCAAGCTACCTTGCTAGTTGCTTAGCTACGTGCCCAACTAGCTGCCTAGCTAGTTGTGTAGTTAGCTACCTAGCTTAAATACCAGCTTAGCTAGTTGCTTAGCTAGCTGCTTAGCTAGTTTCCTAGCTAGCTGCTTAGATAGTCTGCTGCTGAGCTAGTTGCCTAGCTAGTGTCCTAGCTAGCTGCTGAGCTAGTTGCCTAGCTAGTGTCCTAGCTAGCTAGTTACTTAGCTAGCTGCATAGCTAGTTGCCTAGCTAGCTGCTTAGCTAGTTGCCTAGCTAGCTGCTTAGCTAGTTGCCTAGCTAGTTGCCTAGCTAGCTGCTTAGCTAGTTTCCTAGCTAGTTGCTTAGCTAGTTGCCTAGCTAGCTGCTTAGCTAGTTGCCTAGCTAGCTGCTTAGCTAGTTGCCTAGCTAGCTGCTTAGCTAGTTGCCTAGCTAGCTGCTTAGCTAGTTGCCTAGCTAGCTGCTTAGCTAGTTGCCTAGCTAGCTGCTTAGCTAGTTGCCTAGCTAGCTGCTTAGCTAGTTGCCTAGATAGCTGTGTAGGGAGGCTACCTAGCCTCCTAGCTAGCTAGTAGTCTGTGTAGCTAGTTGCATAGCTACTTGCCTAGCTAGCTACCTAGCCTAGCAAGCTACCTATCTAGTTGCCTAGCAAGCTACCTTGCTTAGCTACGTGCCCAACTAGCTGCCTAGCTAGTTGTGTAGTTAGCTACCTAGCTTAAATACCAGCTTAGCTAGTTGCTTAGCTAGCTGCTTAGCTAGTTTCCTAGCTAGCTGCTTAGCTAGTTTCCTAGCTAGCTGCTTAGATAGTCTGCTGCTGAGCTAGTTGCCTAGCTAGTGTCCTAGCTAGCTGCTTAGCTAGTTATTTAGCTAGCTGCTTAGCTAGTTGCCTAGCTAGCTGTGTAGCTATCTAGTATATTTGTCTAGATAGCTATCTAGGTAATTGCTTAATTAGTTGCTTAGCTTGTTGCCGAGCTAGTTGCTTAGCTATTTGCCTAGCTAGTTGCTTAGCTAGTTGCCTAGCTAGCTGCTTAGCTAGTTGCCTAGCTGCCTAGTTAAGCTAGGTAGCTTAATTAGTTGCTTAGCTAAGCTACCTAGCTTGTTGCCTAGCTAGCTACCTAGCCTCCCTAGCTAGTAGCCTGTGTAGCTAGCTGCATAGCTACTTGCCTAGCTAGCTACCTAGCCTAGCAAGCTACCTATCTAGTTGCCTAGTAAGCTACCTTGCTAGTTGCTTAGCTACGTGCCCAACTAGCTGCCTAGCTAGTTGTGTAGTTAGCTACCTAGCTTAAATACCAGCTTAGCTAGTTGCTTAGCTAGCTGCTTAGCTAGTTTCCTAGCTAGCTGCTTAGATAGTCTGCTGCTGAGCTAGTTGCCTAGCTAGTGTCCTAGCTAGCTGCTGAGCTAGTTGCCTAGCTAGTGTCCTAGCTAGCTGCTTAGCTAGTTACTTAGCTAGCTGCTTAGCCAGTTGCCTAGCTAGCTGCTGAGCTAGTTGCCTAGCTAGCTGCTGAGCTAGTTGCCTAGCTAGCTGTGTAGCTATTTGTCTAGATAGCTATCTAGGTAATTGCTTAATTAGTTGCTTAGCTTGTTGCCGAGCTAGCTGCTTAGCTTGTTGCCTAGCTAGCTTCCTAGCTAGTAGCCTAGCTAGATGTGTAGCTACTTGCCTAGCTGCCTAGTTAAGCTAGGTAGCTTAATTAGTTGCTTAGCTAAGC